TCATAGACAGCAATAAACTGAGCTTGAAGGCCGTATTACTGCATAATGGCAACAAAAAGCCCTCGATCCCGATCGCGCATGCAGTAAACATGAAGGAAACATACGGGGTAATGGAGAAATTGTTAAAATTCAACAAATATGAAGAGCATGATTGGAAAATATGTGCCGATCTTAAAGTCGTTGGAATGTTCTGCGGTCTACAAAGTGGCTACACAAAACACTGCTGCTTTCTCTGCAAATGGGATAGATGAGCTCGTAGATACCACTATTGCATTAAGGATTGGCCGGAAATAGTTGAATTTACAATTGGTGTGGATAATATCAAAGACTTCTCACTTGAAAAGAAGGAAATCATTTCTCCGCCATTGCACATCAAGCTCGGCCTCATTAAAAATTTTGTTAAGGCGTTGGACAAAGAACGCAAAGCATTCAATTATTTGCAAAATTGTTTCCCAAATATTTCCCAGGCCAAGTTAAAAGAAGGTATATTTGTTGGACCCCAAATAAAAAAGTTGATAAATAATGACCAATTCAAAGGACTATTGTCACCAGWTRAGGCAGCAGCGTGGGATTCCTTCGAAATGGTCGTTTCTTCTTTTCTCGGTAAACACAAAAGTCCAAACTACGAGAAGATAGTGAGCGACTTAATCAAAAATTATGCAGAAATGGGTGATTATTCAAAACTTATTTAATTGAATTACATAAAATTTTATAATTTACTTATTTACATTTTCTTTTTTCACCAGGCGTAAATATGTCTTTAAAAATTCATTTTCTGCATTCCCATTTAATTTTGAGCATGGCGAAAGGTTTCACCAGCAAATGAAATTAATTGAGAATCGATACCAAGGTTTCTGGGACGGTGGTATGATGGGTGACTACTGTTGGTTTCTCATAAGAGAABCCGATCCTAAACTAAATAAACGACAAAACAAAACACATAATCATTTCGGCTATAATCATCAACTTAAGACAAAAATAACACATTGTTTTAATATATATTACTAATATATAAATAAGTGATTTATAAAAACTAAAAACGACATGAAAATTGACTTTTTACTTAACAGAAACAACGCATAACTAGATATCCCACCCCTACTTTACACACTACATACGCATTTGATCATGTACAACTTTCCTATTTATCCATGGATTTTGTTCATTGGTAGTTTAGTTTTTTCTAAAGAAAAAGGACTTCATATAAAATAAATGGGCGTGGCCTCGGCCACTTATGGACCAAAAACCATACCTGAGGAAGTACTCAACCGATTTCAATGAAATTCGGTACATAATATTTTCTTAACACTAATGACATGTACCAAATATGGGTGAAATCGGTTCACAACCACGCCTGAAATCTCGATTATCACTTTATCATGCAAGAGTATAAAATGTTCAGTGACACCCGAACTTAGCCCTTCCTTACTTGTTTCAGTTGTAAATAATCTATAATTAACTTTTACTCTTTTGTTTTAACTTATAAATAAAATAGTAAGGAAGGGATAAGTTTGGATGTAATTGAACATTTCATACTCTTCCAACTTGCAAGAATCAAGGCCGGCGAAATTTTTTCAGATGTTGTCAAGACTTTATTCTAAAAATTTAATCTAACTTTAATCTAAAAATATGTTGGTTTTAAACCCTATTCCGTTTCCGTTTTTATCCATTTAATTCAGAAAGATACACTATTATGAGTAAAACACGCTTTTCTAATTTTCTATTAAGAAAACTAACATACTGGTCGATTTATGCGATATAAAGTCATCTGGAAGCGTCTGGAGTTTTTTTTTTTTTTATTAATTTATGGCGCTTTTAGTATTAATCTTTAGTTCCAAGCTTCATTACGGTATCTCAATTTTTACTTAAGTTACTTCTGAATAGTTATTTATAATATTTATGTCAGTCAATTAAAAAATGTACCAACTCATGTTGAAAAACGCAGCAATAATGACGCAAATGGAAATATGGACAAATCAATTTATTAAAGCTCATCTCAAGGCCACTGGGTAAACTAGTTATACTATATATGAATAATTTCATGGGAACTACAATATATGTCTAAAGTTTTGTTGAAAACATTTATATCATTTCTGATTTTAATTCTTTTTTTTTTTTGCATCCAAATTAAAAGGTTTTAATTAAAAATTGAACGAACTTCGTGGAATGAAAATTTTCTTTTAAGCTGTATCTTTCCTTTGCGCTTCGAGGTTCTCGGCAACTGTATTGGATCTGGAAGTTTGGTCACTTTAGTGGTAAACACAGCTAGCATTATGTCTTCTAACACATATTTGTGAAAAGTATTATACACATATCATTTTTTCCTCTAAAATATTTGATTGCATATGGTTAATGATTGTGCCTCGCAATAGCTACTACCAATTCAACGTAATAGTTATTATTTCTATTCCTCAATTAAATGAGAATGTAGTCTTCGGAAAATTTAGAACTCCGAGCCTCTGACACTATAATTGTTACTTTCATTACTGAATGAATCAAGAATAACGCGTTTTACAACCAGTGCTTTTTATACTTTTGCAACCAGTTTCTCTAGAGTATTATAGTTTTGTTCATAACGAGAAAAGTTGAAATCTGGTTGACCGTTTGTCTGTCCTTCCATCCGTCCCTCCGTGCAAGCTGTCAATTGAGTAAAAATTTAGATATCTTGATGAAGCTTGATACGTGGGTTCCTTAGTACAAATAATTTTTCGAGTTCGTAGATGGACGTAATAGGACCACTGCCACGCCCACAAATCGCCATTAATCAAAAACATGTAAAGTGCTATAACTAAAAGCTCAATTAAGATAAAAAGCTGTAATTTGGTACAGGGGATCTCAGTAGCAAGGGGCACCTGTGGGCAAAAATGCTTGACAAAGGCGTGGCCCCGCCCTCTAAAAAGTTTAATATTCATTTCTAGT